TACTGGCTGCTCCCTCAGGAGCACACTGTTCACCAACCAGTTAACAGGACAAACAGTTAAAAGCCTTAGATCTCCTACTGGCACGGGACCGGATGGCCTGGCTTCAATAATTTTCCGAAACAATGGATGTGAAATTCCCATATTACTTTTTAAATTCTTCTCAATATCTCTGGACACTGGCACTTATCCTGATGAGTGGAAAACTAACTTCATAATTCCACACTACAAATCTGGTGATAAGGCACACGTTCGCAATTACAGACCCATAAATATAGCCCCAGTTATCTCGCGAATCATGGAGAAAGTTCTCAAAGACCAATTATCAGACTATCCACTTAAGGAAGATCTTATTACAAGGTCTGAACACGGATTTCTCAAAAATAGGTCCTGCGTTACTTGCCACTTCGACTTTTTCAACTGCATCACTAGTAGTCGTGAAGCACGTAAGCTAGTCACTGTTCTCTACTTCGATAAATCTAGGGCATTTCACATGGTATCTCACAGTATTCTCTTTGAGAAGCTGTACTCATGTGGAATTCGCCATCCATTACTGAACTGGTCAAAATTGTTTCTAAGCAACAGGGTACAAATAACCTAAGTTGGATCTGTATTGTCTCATCCTGAGGAGATCACAAGTGGGGTTGTGCAGGGTATTGTCCTAGGACCACTTTTATTTACAGTCTACATTAACAGCATTTGTAACTGCTTCACCTCAGGTGAACCATTCCTATATGCTGACGACCTCAAAGTCATTTACTCCTGCTACACTAGTGAATTAAGCGATATGGTAAATAAAATACATCCTGAACCAAACGGTCTCACAACATGGTGTGCTGAATCCTGTCTAAGGTTTAACATCGACAAATGCGGCTGGATTTGTATTGGTGACAGTACCCTTGACCTAACTCTTGAAATAAATGGGCGATAACTAGCCAAGCTCAACTCAGTCATAGATCTCGGTAACAGATACTCTAGTAACTTAACGTTCTCTGGACAATCTGATTATGCTAGACGTAGAACACGAAGGCTCCTAGGATGCATAACTCGCAATTTCTTTTGTTGTAAAACTAGGGTTTTCTTGTACAAAGTATGTGTCCGACCTATTTTAGAATACTGTACGTTTATTCTTAGCGGACTGCGACAGAATTTCAAGCTTAAATTGGAGGGAGCGCAACGGCAATTTACCTCAAGAACTCTTGGTTTAGAATGTAGTCTCAAATACTCTGAGCGCTGCGACAGACCGAGAATAGAACCACTCTGGAGAAGACGTCTCAAGCTAAACCTTATTTTCTACTACAAGCTAACTAGTCTTCTCTTGCATCACTCCAGGCCAATAACTAAATCTACCATTGTCATCAGTTACAATCTTAGAAATCATGACAACCTAGTTGCTATGGAGCATAAGTTTTCAGTAATTTGAAATTTGACTACCAGCTAATGTGCGTGACGCAAACGCACTTCCAATGTTAATCTCCTCAGTAATCAGACTGCTCAGAGATGACAATGCGCTCCTGCATTGGACTCTCACACCTTTTTCACCCTACATAGATATTATAAGTTCATTAAACGTATAAGTTACAACAAACTACAATTATAAATGTTGATATTATTGTAAGGACATCACAAACATTTCCACACAGAAGATAATTATTATTTCACACATAATAGAAAAGATAGCATAACAAGACTAGTTGGTCAGTGTACCAAAATAATGTAAATTATTACATCAAAACACCTATGATCCACTTATCGAGACTTTTGATTACTTTGACTACAAAGGCCTCAACTTAATTCCATATTTCCCATTTACACCAAAGTGAATCATCATAATGCTTCTTAAGACATGAACACACTGACCCATACCAGGTGAGAAAATACATCGCAACAGCCATTGTCCTCACTCGATACTAGCTTATCATGAGTTTAACTCAAGCGGTATCGCGAGCTGTTAATTGAAATACATAGTAAAAGTAGGTGATTCAGTCACAACGGTTTACATAACTGGGATACGAAATTCATGGTAGGAACAAATTACACTATAGTCACTGAAATACACTGCCGAAGCAAAACGTCTGTGAAAATGTGTACAGACTATTAGTCAACCTAAGTTGATTCTAATGCAGTCACTCATAGAACAACGGATGTCAACTGCATTCTATCACTAAGTTAATAATATGCCAGTCACTGGAAAACATTCAACATTGGAGTACACATTTGGAATTATCGCCACACGTCTTCTGTAATCGGTGCATCCGCCGCTTCCACAACATTTACACAAAATATCAGCCCCTGCGATTGTTCGTTGTAGTCTACTACCAGCAGTGAACGAATCACTTTACTATCCTCTGAGTGAGACAGGCTTTCCTGAATATTGTTCACCCACAGCAACTTCAAGTAAATTCCTTCCCATCTTACTAATGTTCATTCTCCTGCAAGGACACCAGTGATCTCTGCTTATCCTAATTCGGCCACACATTTCACATTGCCGAAGACTTCCCGTGCCCACTTCGAAATGCTACAGTTACTTCAAGTGACTATCCTCCAGAAAATCAAAGGCCAAGAAATCTTCATCTGACGTCTTCTGAAGTGTTTCTGGAATGGAACAGCTTATTCGGCGAATAGCGCATAGTAACGGTCAAATATGGGCACCTAACAGTGCGATACGGAAGAAATATGTATGCAACCCGTTTGGTGTTGCTCATTCGTTCACTCCGCTTGCTCGCCAGTAGTTTTGTGTGTTTGTAGGCCTCTAGTGGTAAATGTCCCTTAATTTGGTGTTGGACATCCGACATGTAGTTCTTGGCTCCCTTCTCAAACTGACAAGTTTTAGACAGACGAAGATTGGATGAAACAGCTTCTGATGTATACAAGAGAGCAACACCGAAGTTTGTTAAGCAACTGACATCAGTAAATGTGCTGGGCAGACCACCTATAAACAATGCTGTATCACTGTGTGTTCATGTCAGACAAAACCATGTTATGATGGAATTCACCAAAGTGAAGTCCACATAATGACACGACTTCTAACCTAAACGAAGATGTAGATTGCGATTAAATGAAAATGTCTATAAGAAGTGAATGGTAAGGCTGTCTTAACCTCGTGGTTTTAAACTTTTCGGTTGTTATAATCAGTTGCCCTTCCTCAAGGTCGCGAATTTCTTTAAAAGGATGTAACTAGTATTCGATTCCGTTAAATATTACCAAACAAAATGGGAGGATCATCTTCATATCTGAGAGAAGCAAGCAGATTTCTTGATGGACAAGACTTCACAGGTCGTCAAGACCCATATGCAAATGTAAGTGCATCTAAATAGAGACACCAGTTATGTCAATCTAAAATATGTTAGATTGACATATATATACATAAATATATATAGAAATATACATATTTCTTCTCCTATCACTTCAGTGCATGCAGCAACATAAACACCTTCAGCATCCATTGCAACAACTTTTATTTCACACATTTAACATTACAGAAATTATACTGAATGTATAAGGTACTGCGTACCTGGAAATACAGTGATGGACACTCGAACATGTGAAAACGATCATGTACTACAAATGTCGCGTTTGAAGAACCGGAAAACATCAGCATCGATTGTGGATATCGTCTATCTGGTATCATTTTGCGATGACCCAATCGCAACGATCATTTGAATCCACCACTGGACAGATAACGTCGATTATGATGTGCAGATCAACTTCTGGTCTTCTCACATCATAAGTATAGGGATAGAAGTAGCAGGCAATTGACTTTCGGTCCAAATTAGTGGTAAATGGTCATACTGCTTGTACTAAACGTTTGGATTGTCTCTATACTTTTTGATCATTAGCCATTTCACTTTCAGGTTATGCGAATAATGAGCCGACACACTAGTATCTGTGAGTACACGGCCATTGCAATGATCTGCGACTTCTTCCTCCTCTTCTTCTCCTTCTTCTTAGTCACAACCATTGATTGCTGTGCATTTTGAGTGAAGATCTCCAAAAACAAAACACATTTTGTTTCTAGTCGGCTTGCATCAGGAAGACGGTGAGATCATCAATCCAATGCCCATATGGCTTACTGGAAATCGCCAATTTCATGATATTTCACACTCTGACTCACTTTCAGCGTTCTTTTGAGATTGTAGACCAGTGTGATCGATTCCACTGCGGCATCGTTGACCGTTTTCTGTGGGGTTTACTCATTCAGAAGTGAATCTTAGGATGTGATCACAAACTCAGTGATGATAGAACGCCACATACTGATGTCTGTAATGTGGTTTCATACTTCTGGGAACCCAAATGATAATGAGCAAGTTCAGGTAGTCCAAGTAATCGTAAATGATGGGAACGTTTGCATCTTAAAGTATAAGTAATTTGTTACGAGGTGAAGATGCAGTTGGTTGTCTTTATCAATCGACTTACAGCCAACTGCTGCCGGGTCCGAATTCCGCCCCACCTACTTTGCTCAACTTGGTCGTGTGATATCACAATTCCTAACACAATAAGTGTCGGCTATAGACTGACGTCACATAGGTGAGTTCCAATTACTAACCAATAACCTGTTTGGAGACTGTGAATTGGTGACAAAAGCTGAACTCTCGATTATTCAAACGAATGCGGAGTAAACGTTCCTTGTGGAGTGTTTTGTGATGCAGTGATTTTAGGAAAGAGGGTGCACTTGTGTCAAAGTGTTTCCAACCTGTATGAATTTCGGATTAATGGCATTTGTCACAAGCTATTTATCCGGTGGGTCTTGAAATCATTCGTCATGGAAATGACTTATTTTGCACTCTGACTGCAAACTAGGATATCCGTCTTTCTGGCGCATACTTTCTCTCAGTCACGTACTTGCGCAATATCAGGAGGATATAGTGTGCACCTGAACTTACAATTTAGTCATCAAACATGACATGAGGTTCCTGGTTTTCATTGGATTCAATCGGCTGATCTGCATAAGTTTCCACAGTATCGAAATAATTGTATACATTTTTCTAAATATCTGTTTACAGCAGAACTTCCGCAACGGAACATCAAGAGATATGACGGGGTATCCGATGTACGGTCAGGATTATGGCAGTCAGCCACAGCCGATGTACAACATGGATATGAATCGCAGAAATAATATGGATGTAAGTCCTGTAAGCTATAACAGTTTCTCACTATTATTTGAAGTGAGGAGTCGAAGTTTCCCAGTTCTTCTTAAATTCACTCACCTTAGGCACACATTTCGCCTTGCATGTACTGAAGATTGAAAAATGTATTAGTCTCTCCCTTCAGGGAGCAATTGCATCATCCTATCGAGAGAAGAAATGGAAGTATTGAACATCTCTCTATCCATTGGACTGACTGGATATAATTAACCTTGAATATGAACCTACATTTGATACGCATAGCAGTCAGTTTTCTCATATTTGTAGGTAACAAGTACTGCAAGCACTAAGGCTGTTTCTTTACCGAAATCGGCATCGCCATTCATCAGTGGATAAAGCGACATTTTCGTTTGTGACTGACCAAAATGTGCTAGGCTTGGTTATGTGAGAAAGCAGTGTAAGCATGAGTAACGTGGTCAACACTGGCTGTACGTATATATGTGCATGTACATCGTGTGTCTGGCTGAGTAGTTCCATTTGAGGCAAACATCTGTTCATTGACCATCCAGTATGCACGAAGTTTAGCCTGCTTATGGACACAGTCCATGAATCGACGTGACCGAATAAGATGGATCACTGCTCCAGCCATTACTCACATACACTTCACTCCCACATTCTTCTGATTGAATACAAATATCAATGTTAACAGTTGGTTTCAAACAGTCTGGTCGCTCCAGTAGAAGAATAATCACTCCACAGAATCTGTGAATGCAACATTTATTGTGGTGAAATGAACCTACGATTTTAAGTTCTCTGACATTTTCGAGTGGAATTGTAGCTCACTCTTAAGCTGATTCCACAGCTGACAGTCAGATAAACCTTAAAATTCGATCCACTGATTGAGTTATAGTTTCTCACGAACTTCGTCGTTCGCTGTTTTCCAGCAGTGCATGTGGACTACAGGACATAATAAATCACCTCGACGTTAAAACGCAGTATTCAATCGAGTGGTGCTAAGAGTACAACAGTTACTTTTTAGTCAAGCACGAATTTGCAGAGTAATGGCACTTTTTCTCAATACGCACATGCATAGTCCAATGTGCATCGTCAGTGCCAGTATATTTCTACTTTTGCATTCTAGGGTGGATATGACCAATACACGGATGATTACGAATTTCCCTCAGGAAATCAAGGGTAAGATATGCCTTTGCTGATAATTGCTTGCTACTCATACGTCTATTACACACACGTTTGAAGCACTAATGTTTGCTGCATAATAATTTTAACGAATGGAGGAAGACATCATGTGAGGAAGCGTGACCACTCCTTCGGGAAACTGTGTCAAATGGAGACCGTTTGAGGAATAAAGGCCTGAGTAACTTGTGGCCTTGTGGGAAAACGAGATTAGATGAAAGCAATTAGACTGCTTCACATGGTGAAAAGCAAGATGAAGCGCACAAATAAATTGAAAAGCCGTGACAAAAATTTACTTTAAACAGGCGATTATAAATTACTACCTCTTCCGTCTTCTGCGAAGACTATCGTACATAAGTGAGGATGATGGGTTGATATCGACCATGTGGAATGACCGAACGATGATGGACTCATAAATAGCACTCGCATTTTGTGTTTTGTTCGGTCCTCCTGATCACACAAAGTTGAAATTTCGTAACAGTAATGTTCGTGGACGGCACGAAAGAATTAGTCAAACCGACTAAAACTGGTAGTTCATCTTCTAGTCTTAGCATTGCTATTTAGCAAATAAAGGTGACATTCGCAATTTTTCTCCGTCAAACTTAACTACACCACCTACATTTGCACTTTGTGATGAAAATTATAAGTGTTTTATTATGATGATGTCTGACTAATTTAGAAGCAGTTTTCAGCGATGGATAATGACTGTCATCTTATGTAATTTAATGTGATACGTTCATATCTGTCTGTATAATTGGCGAATAATGTCATTGAAATATATTCTGGTTGAATCTCTAGTCAAAATAGCTGGGAACGGTCTGGATCAAACTACCCTTCAAACGGAAACCGATGGGATGACGTAGATGACCAATGCAAGTAAGTGACTAGCTTTGTATACCACTTGTCGAAATCATTTCCGTCGTCACGTTTTCGCCATAACTGTCGCACATATTATGTTTATCTGCACAGTTGTGGCGTAGACATCATGAATTATGAGTATCATTTCGTTGTGCTTGTCGCGAATGATGATGCAACTAAAACCTGACATAAAGTAACAAAATGTGTATTAGAAACAGCCAGACATTTTCCTGTCAATAAGCGTTTCAGTTTAATCCATATTTGTAACTTTCCTCGCAATTACTGAAAAACCTGAAATCAGGGCGAGACAACAGCTTCTCTTGACCATTATTCTACACAGAAGTGGGTTTTATACAACGCTAGTAATACCACAGTGCACATCCCGCTAAAGATACTTTATTCAATTATGCTAATGAAGGGCTCGTAGAACAAACAATTACTGCACTCACGGTTCTATCAAACAAACCTTTCAAATACTATCCTGGTTTACACGCACAAACACACACACGTACACTGATTGTCGTTTTAATGTCTCTTCACATTGTTGTCCTCCTCAGAATAGTACGACAAGTTCGTCATTGAAGTCAATGAGGAGAGATCTGAGTCAGCATATCACTCTCCACAGCCTACTTATAACAGTGAAACAATGACGAGATATGTAAGCATCTTCAGAAGACGTTAGTGTAAACAGATGATCAGAACTGTTTAAAACGCATATCGAATCAATGGTACTGGTGTATTCGTCAAACTGAGCACTATGAGTTTGCAAAAGTTTGACAACGAAACAGATCATCTTTCCGTCGTAGCCAGGTAAGATAAGGATCAGGGTTTACCAAAGCTATGTTGCAAACATAATTACCATTGTGCAGCTTATCTCTATAAAGCGTTTCCGTCACCATAAAATTAGCCGTAAATGCAACGCGTTCGCTAGTGGACAATAAACCTGCATATGTTGTTTCAAAATACAGCAGTGAACTAAGTACTCATTGAAAATAAACCAAAAGTCCTCCTGTCACCAGTTTCAATATATTTACATCCTAATGGTTGCAACAGTTTACCATGTACAGTTTACTACTTCCACTGAATAAACTAACTTAAATACATTTCTTTTGTGTAGCAATAGCAGGTTTAACAGAGGCTGGCGCTAGAAATTGCATATCAGTCTTCGCCATTACACCAGTCATTTCGGCTTGACTGTCATTTTCGGTGAGTGATATTCCCATATTCAACGCTTGTTGTTCGATATATATATATATTTATAAATGTGCATGAAGTAGACAATTTATACCGTGATCAGTTTCAAACCATAAGCACGAAGATTCAACCCCGTTGGCAACCTTAGATTTGTTAATTTCAGTCATTGTTCCATTATCGAAGAACAGCATGACGACTAACATTCCTTTCATCAAGTTTATTAACTGCGTTGTTTGTTACAAGAGTTGAAGTGGAGTACAGTGTTGTTGTAAAGCATTGCGTCTATGGCTTTGAAATCCCTCGTATGCCATCACTCCTAGTCTCCTAATGTGAAGATGTGACTTTATTCATCATAAAATACCGTCTGTGAAAGATGAATTGACTGGTTTGGTCAGAATACCTGAGTGCAGTACACTTCATGTGCGACTCCATATCATCCTACTATGTTTCAGTTGAATCTAAACGACTATTCACCTTCCAACTTATTTAGTTATTGAAAGTAAGTTATTCAGTAAATTGTGCCTGTCTTAGATCATCCTGTTCTGATTGTGAATGAATGAAATTAGTGTATAGGGCTGAGTGTAGTGGTGAGATTGTAGAGGGATTGAATACAAACTAATTTGCCCTGACTCAACCTGTAGGCGAGATCAAATTATTCAATTTCTAGCCTCTTCAAGTAGTGCACCTCATGCCGATAGTTTAAAATTGTCTAGCTTGTATCTTTGTACAAGGCCTTTTGTTTCAATTTGTAGAAATTGTAGAAACACCAATGATTCTGGAATTCAGAAGAGGTGTGGTCTTTCAAAGTGGTGTCAGACCAGAGGATTTAGTCTGAATTTCTTCAAATATTTATGCCGGATTACACGACAACAGAGTTGAAGGACTACTTTCAGTTGGAGATAATCACTGTTAATGGGCGTCTGTGTGTCCTATCACGTAGTGTCACTCAATGAATTATAAAGTAGCACTGTGAAGAGAAAGCGAATATTAGCAACTTTATTGTATTTCTGTGTATGTTCACATTCTAGGAAGAGACGGATGGCAAATACTTTTTCATTACATACTGATAAGAGTATATTTTCTTTACTTTTGCTTAAAGGTTTTCTAACGGCGAAGCAAACATTGTTTTCTCCATAAAAATTTCGGATGTCTGGTGTTCCGTGTAAATGGCTTGAAGTGAAAGTGGAAACAATACTGTGTACAGGTCACAGTGCACAGCTTATATCTTCTGTACATTTAAAAGCACTAATGTCATTATTTTTGTAAAATACATATTTTCCGTGCATAAAATCCCTTCGATACTTTAAATTATCCGAACTACTTATGTATCATGTGAACGGCGAAATGAAAGTAAAGCGTGTGGTCATCTGTTACCAAGTTAATCATCATACTTCCCGTTGAAGTTGAAGAACTTGGTTATGATGTTTACAATACAGAAGCATTTCACTGTGAAATGACTTTGCCTTCGATATAGACTGAATGAAAATCGGATCTTCACAGTTGGTCAGCTGGTGTTAACACACACCTTTCTGCAATACAACGTTGGATTTGTCTTGAAATCCTTATTCTCGACTCACAGTTCAATAAGTTGACTGAAAATTGTTCTACCGGATTGGTTTCGAAAGTCGCTTCGTATAGCTTCTATCAAGGTAGTAGTGTAATTTCTTGTTTTGTCAGTCTAATATCTGCAAGTGTGTGTTGTTTGCACCCCACAATCAATTATAATCACGCGAAGATTTCATTAAAATCTCATAAACATAAGAAATTACAAAAGGAACATGCAGTGATTCACT